CAATTCACTGCGGGCCAAAATTAAAAACTGGGACAAAGTCTCAGTCCAAACTTAATATTTATTGAAAAGAAAGATGACAATTTGTTTTCCCTTCTCTCTAGATTTGTAATGTAGATTTTTGTCATAAGAAAACAAACTTTCATTTTGCGTTGACTCTGGAACAACCAAAGATTAATATTATAAAACACATGAGAAGTTAAATCTGAAATTAAACACAAACATCATTAATATTCATTTCTTATTATGTCTGTTTATCTGTAGACTTTCCAGTTCTATTTTAATGTAAATTGTGCTATAACATACACTGCTAATGCTACAAATCCTGCCAGTATATTGGGCCACACTCTAGTCCACATGTGACATTGTCTCACGGGCCAAATATCATTACACTGTGGCCCAGATTTGGCCCCCAGGCCTGAGTTTAGACCCTGTTAGCTTTCTCTCTCTCCATGAGTTAAATATAAACTCTGTTCCTTTTATTGCCAACTGGTTCCTTCTTACTTCCTTCTTACTTCCTGACTGCCACAGTTTAAACCTTAGATTCACAGTCGGTGTTTTTCACTCCTCGTCCGTTCGTCTCCACAAACCAGGCATAAAAAAAAAAGAAAAGAGCCAAAAAAGAAATCCGTCTTTACAGAATGAGACAGATGTTATGGTTGCCAGAAAGAAGCGCTCTTCTCCTTTCTCCTCCTCCTCCTCCTCCTCCTCCTCCTCTTCCTCATCATGTGCCTTCTGCATGTTAATGATATCCTGTGTATAAATACAGAGAACACACAACCGTACAAAGCCCGGCCTTTTGAAGGCCTCTTGATTAATTGACCTACAGACTCGGAGCTTCTTTTCTGCAGGAAATCAAGAAGAAGAAGTGTTTTTTGTTTTTTTTCCCAGCACAGATGGAGTTGGAGTTCTGCTGCTGAGGCAGGAAAGAAGTGTTTCAGCGACTCAGAACCTTGACGATGGTTGAAATGTCTGTGTAGAAAAGAACGGTTTGGATTAGATTAGATTAGATTGGGTTAGTTAGATCTATCTATCTATGTAATCTCTACAGATTAGATTAGTTTGGATTAGACTCTAATCCAAACTAATCTAATCTCATTTTCTTTGTTCACAGAAATCCACGAGGAGACAAACTTAAAACAGCAATTTAAAACAGAATAACCTTTACATTGTCAGACATTAAAATATATTTTAAATATTTTGATTTTTTTTTTGATAAAAATAAAATCAAATTCTATGATGTAACTATTACGGATATGCTGCTAAATATTTATGATTCTGAGATTGTACAGGTGCAGAATAATCTGTCTTATTTTGATTAAATATTTACAAAAAAACTAATAGGAAATCACAACATTTGCAGTTCCCTAATTTAACCACACTGGTAACACAATCCAGCCCATTAGGGGGCAGTAATGCACCGAAAGTTGGTTTCCCCAGGCACAAAAACTATTGATCGACGCCATTACTCACTCACACATATTTGTTCCTGAAGACCAGACTTTGTGTCTTTGGTTGTTGGACTTTTTTCCTCCTGAACTTCTTTGGATACAGCACGGTCGGCAGTACATAATTTTTATTTTTATTTTATCACCTTCGATATTTGTTCTGCTGGTATTCAAACCCCCAATTCTCCGAGTACGACCCCGTGTCCTTTAACCACTTGTCCACCGTGTCTCCTTATAAACAGTGATATATTCCTGACACAAACAGCTCCAGTCCGTGTGACACGAGTGAATCAACACCTAATAACAACAGAGGGAAGAATGACTGAGCATCAGGAAACACTGGTGCTGATTGGCTGAGCCCGCTCGTCCTCAGGGATGTCCTGAAGCATCTCTAACCACTCTGTGGGATTAGCAGGCCTTTTTTTTTTTCTTTTTTTTTCTTCGTGTCTCAACCGCAAACAGCAATTATCCACCAAAGAGCCGTGTTCCTGCGGGCACAGGAAGCAGCCATGCAGAACTAGAACAAAATGAAGGATCGTGAGAAGAAAAAAAAAAGTAGTAATAATAATAATAATAATACCTTGAGTGTCTGCAGCGGTGACTGTCGTTACGTACGGCAAATTAATGTACATTTTAATCATCCCACTTCCTGATTGCAGGTCTGACACGCCGGCTCTAACGATGACAGGATCTTCATCTCCAATTATCATTAGCATTTAAACAGCCTCATGTTAATGGACACGTCTGTGTGTGTGTGTGTGTGTGTGTGTGTGTGTGTGCTGTGAACTGGCCGTGTAAGAAGAGAAATAAATGTTGGTGTTAGAGCTGAGTAAAGAAACGAAGAAGCACAGCAGCGCTCCAGATATCAACTTTATTAGACTCTATAGGAGAGCTGGGGGTCATTTTTTAAATCTTTATCTCCCCCCTCTCCCTCCCCCTCTCTCTCTCGCTCCATTCATGTCTCTTTGTCTCGTCCTTAGCGTCGGTTGCTTCATAAATGCTAGCGTAGCCTCCAGACAGAGGTGGAGGTTTGAAAGGACTGTGCACATGTTCATGTTCAGAACGCTTCTTTGTCGGAGTCTCAGGTTGAAGCTTCAAAGGCCGACGCAGTTTACATTGATTTAGTGAAAGGATTGATTGATTGATTGATTGATTGATTGATTGATTGATTGATTGATTGATTGATTGATTCGCCCGCTCGATTCTGTGGATTCTTCACAGAAAAAGAAAGCGTGACCGTTAAAGGTTGTTCTTTGTTTCTAACGATGTCTCCAACTGTCCTCACTGTCGTGACCCTCGGGGGAGGAAACGCTAACGTTTTTATGGTTATTACCCTGATTAATAAACCTTAATAAAGACGTTACTTTCCGAGAGTTTTTCTCTTTAAAAAAAGTAATTGTTCAAAGTTTCTTTCGTTCTTTTTATTTATTCCAGGAAGGACCAGCATCTGCTCTCCTCCGTCAACTGCTGGTACCTGGTGCTGAACCAGACCAGACGCGAGAGCCGGGACCACGCCACGCTCAGTGACATCTACACCAACAATGTCATCCTCCGTCTGGCTCAGATCGGCGACGACGTCATACGACTGTTCAAGAAGGTCAGTCAGACGTTCTGAATTCTTACGATATCTTTCCGATCTTTGTCGGAGTTTCCAAGACCTTACATGAATAAAAACTGAATTTATGGTTTAGAATTAAGGTGAAAAGACAATGTCAACAGATAATGTTAGCTTAGGAGAGGTCAGTCACCCCCTAGAGGTCTAGGGAGGTACTGCAGGGATTGTAAAATTTTATAAAAATACATTTTTGAATATTTGGCAGTTGTTAAATTATACCTGAATATATGAACCTGTGTGGTTTTTTTTTAAATCCATAGTAGTGGATGGTATGACCAGGTCTACTCTCCGTGACCTCAGTCTGTTTGTTATTATTCTCTGTAATAATGTCGATGTGTGATTCTTGGTATGTTGGAGGAGTGAAGAGTCTGCAGGCGTTTTTACTAGACACCTCGCTCTTACTGTGTGTTGCCTCACGGTTGTTCACTCTCTGGTTGGCGCCTCCTTCTCTGCACACACACTCACACACACACACACACATTTTATATTCAGACCAGCGGTTGATTGACTATGACTACGACTACGACTACGACTCACTTCCTGCGCGACAGAGCGCTCGATAGCTAACAAAGGAAAACAACCTGCACCAGTGTTTAATTTATAGAACTTTGAGTTAGTCTTAGTCTTTTGACTTAACACTAACTTAGTCTCACTCCCAATTCAGTTGATCAGGGATGTCAAACACCTGGGCCACAGGCCAAATCTGGACCACTAGGGGGTTCAATCCGGCCGGCTTGATGAATTTTAAAAGTGGAAAAAAAAAAGCACAAACACTTCATGTTACTGTCATGTTTTGTCCAATAGTTCATTAAATAAAAAACATGAGTTATTGTTGTTTATAGCTGATTATGTTGTACATATATACATATATAAACATATACATATATAACTGGTTAAAATAAAGGCGAAACACAAATGATTTTCCTCTACCCCACGCCACTTTTTACATCTTAGGATTTTGTCACATCTTACATCAGACAACTAAATTACTGCCACCTGCTGACAGGGTTTTTGTAAATGTTTCAGCCTGTGAATGTCCGAACTACTTGGACGAGGAAGAGGCAGCACTCAGATCAAATGAGAGTTTGAAATCAAAAGTTGCTGCGTACCGTAGCCTCAGGCAGCGTTCTCTCAGAGATTCTTCTACCTTCTGAGTCACAGAGAGAAAAACGAAAAAATCTGTTTCCTGTCGACTCATCAGAGGTTCTGTTGTTGTTGTTGTTGTCGTTGTTGTTGGTGGAGTGTGTTTCAGACCATGAGTCCTGCTGCAGGCTGTGTGATCAAACTGCTCAGCATAATGACTCCAGAGACAGGAGAGATACACACAAGTATCACAGTAAAATGGATAAAAGTAGAATCAGAGAGAAATAATGACGGCAGCGACATGGGCTGAATGAGACGAGAGATGATGTCGAAATGAAAATGGATCCGAGTTCTTCTTCATAATACGTTATTGATCTCTGTCTGCAGCACAAACGTCAATAGATGGTCAGGTGATGTCACACACTGTCATCGAGTCAGACACACAAACACACACTTTGTTTTCCATACAGAGAAACAAAGTTCAAATATAAAGGTTGTGACCTTTAGCTGGTAAATTTAAAGTCCATAGAATTCTTCCTGCTCTGACATTTCCTGTCTCACCGCGCATCAAAAAGTTTATGAATCGTTTTTCCTCGAACAAAGTCGAGGTGTTGGCGGCGTGATTGTTCCAGCCGGTCACTGCTGACATCACTGTCCACTCACCGCTCTCTTACTCTTTCTCTCCTCCTGTGTTTCAGAGTAAAGACATCGGGATCCAGATGCACGAGGAACTGGTCAAGGTGACCAACGAACTCTACACTGTGAGTAATCTGTTGACACTTCCTGTTTAACCTCTGGGTCGCGACCCTGCATCGGGCCGCCTGGAAATTCAAATGAGGTCACCTGATTTTTTTAAATTAAATTATTGCTATTATTATTATTATTGTTATTATTATATTTAATTATTATCATTATTATAATTATATTATTATTATAGTAAAAAAAAACAACACACACAACCTTAAACAACTGTTTTCTTTTAATTCCGTGACTAAAAGTGAGAGTTCAAATAAAAATACAAATAAAATCTCAGGTGGGGAAACTTGATTGACGGCTTTGATCACATGACTGCACCAATGACAGCTACTCGAGTGTCTCGGGGGTCACCCAGAAATTTGTGACGTCTACATGGGGTCTGTGCAGTGAACTAAAGTTTATTCTCTCCTTGAGTTTTGATTTATTTCTTCACGTCACCTGAGCTGATCTTTAAGGTGGAACGGCGTCTTTTTTGATTATTATTTTTGCACCGTCCACTCCTTCCTTTCCCTCCGTCCTACTTCCGTCTCTCCTTTTGCCCTGGGACAGCTCCGTGTGATAAATCTCAGATGCTTCCTTTTCCAACAGTAAACTGTGTTTCCGCCGACGGTCGACCCCACGCTGAGGCGACAGATGCTGATTAACAGCTGAGTTCTCACTGCATGAAAGACTGTGAAGAGTGAAACTTCTGAACTGCAGTGAACTGTGCTGAAACGCAAAAGAGCAGAGTTTCACTTCTGTCTCCACAGCGCCCCCACTTTTGATTGATTTGCAGGATTTTCTCTTTTTGGTTAAGTTTTGTAGCTCGTCGATGATCACAGAGAAGTTCTGTGGTGGATTTGATCTGATCTGGGTTGTTTTTTTTTTTCATAATTTATTTATCCAATAATGAGATTTGAAATATGCCACCAGTGATGTTCCTGAACTCATCACTTCATGTCCCCGGGAGCCCAGTCTCTGACTTTAATGTTTTTCATTACTGCTGCTTTATTAGACTCCAGTCAGAGTGAATCTGCTGAGGAGAGACGCAGGGTTTTCACCCGCTGCCAGGTGTTTTTGTTCAGAGAAATCTGTTCGGTCCTCGTCTAACACTGTTATCTAAAGGTCGTGATGCTGCTGCTGCTGCTGCTGCCACAGAAGAGGAAGAAAAACAAGGTTACAATTTCCTTTGAAAAAAGATGAGCGACGAGGTCCTGATGTTGCTCTCAGCGTCATGACTCACCAAAAACTCACCGTTCTTGAAACTCTGAGTGGTGGTTGATGTCCTGATGTCGCTCTCTGCATCATGACTCACCAAAAACTCACTGTTCTTCACTTCAGTCTGTGTTCATTTCCTGCCACGTCGATGTAATATCCCACCAGGATCGATGGCGGCCCCGACTAATCTTCCTGATCAGACACCACCGAGTGGCTGATGTTGGTGAAGAGACGGAGGAGCCAGGAGGTCACTCACCCACGCACCCATTCACTCACTCACCCAGTCTGATGATGATTTCCTCATTTAGTCTCTTACTGTTTAACCAATGGTCTTTTTTGTTAGTTTTAAAAAAAGGTTTTCTTTTAGTTTTCGTTTTTTTTAACCTTCTGTGGGCTCGTTCTGTGGGTTCTTTCTCTGAGACCACGGACGTTCAGGTCGACTGAAGCCTCTAAATCGACCCCAGATGTAAACGCCGTTCTCTGGCTCGTGGTCGACCTGTTCAAGGTGTTATCCTGACCACTGTTTGACTTTTTCTTTGTTTTGTTTTTGGAGCTCAGAGTCTGCGTTCCCCACAACTCACAAGTTTTCATTTAAAGTGCGATAACATCTGCAAAAGATATTCCTGCCTCCCACACTAACCCTGCAGTGTCAGGGAGGACAGAGGAGAGTGATGCTGCTGCTGCTGCTGCTGCTGGTGGCGGCTGGGTTTTAGTCTGAACTGGTTGAAAAAAAAGCAGGACTTTTAGGGTTTTATTTTCAGCTAAAACCTTTTTTTTCTTAATTATACTTTTGGAAACAAAGAGAAACTAAGAGCCTCAGTGAACCAGAGTGGTCACGTGATACATTTTCATGTACATTATCACTGCAGAGTACTGTAGTATAAACCTGTAAGTACTTTTTGTAAACAGTACTTTGTTAGCGAGTGTTGTTGAAGCCAAACCTCCTGGAGACGTTGGTGTTTAGCTCTGAATTGTTGAAAATGACTTTGGCTCAAAGTTGGCAGGAAAATCTGCCACAATTCAGACCAATTTAGAAGAGACTGTGCAGCTGCCTGAGGACAGACAGATGGACGGACGGACGGATGGACAGACAGACAAGTGTTGGTCTGGTTTTCTCCATAATGAACACAATTCAACTCCACACAGACGTACATACGTAGTTGTTTACATTCAACTTGATAAAATAAAAAAAAATTAAAAAAATGTTTTAAATTTTCAAGAAAAATTTTCACCTAACCAACCAAAATAATGACCTTTTAAAAAATTCCCAAAAATTCAAAATGCTCGAATTTGGTGGAAAACGTGCAGAGAAGATTAAATTAAAACAAAAAAAATCAAAATGTTCAAGAAAATTTTTCACTATCCGACCAACATGACGTGTAATTAGGGTTTTAAAAATCCCCCTCCAAATTTTTTTTTTTCTAAAAGAAAACCAACACGTTTGTTGTGTGTAGTGACTCTGCTCTGCCTGTAGGGTTTAATATGAAGTAAAGCACAGAGCAGAGAGATCGGTGGACAGAGGTGAGTGACCCAGAGACTCATTTCCTATTTGAAGACCGAACCTGTGTCATTAAAAAGAACCCTGGTGTTTAGATGCAGCTCTTTGTCACAGGAAACAAATAAATCAGTGTTTATGTCGACGACATCCTGGTGTTCACACACATTCTGGTCACAGCCCACATCTGGACACCGGTTTATGAGGTTTTACAGAGAGCTTTAAGTGGTGATTTTTTTTTTTTTTTTTCACGGAGCATATGGAATGAGTTAGTGCAGCCAGAGAGTGTTGTTTTTCTCACCGCACTTCTCTCATCACCACGGGTGAAAGTTGGAGAGGTGTCGGCGCGGAAACGTGTCAGAAGAAAAATCAAAGAAGGAAACGGAGACAAAAATAAGACTTCATCCCAGGAATGTTTTTCTACAAACGACAGTTGCCGAGTCACACACACACACACGAGCCTCCAACCACTGTGGTGACATCTGGGTTACTACTGTACTGATGGATCCAACAGGCCACCGTGAAAACACTGACATCAGGTCCATGGAATCCATGACAAATAATATCTTTCTTTCTTTTGGCCAATTTCTGCTCATATTTCAGATTTTTTTTATCGCACGTTATTGTCCACTCGTTGGTGGACATTTTTTGAACAGATTCTTGTAAGGTGTGAGATACTGGAGCAGATTTGTTACCATAGCAACCACACCTGTCTGTTTATTGGTTTGTTAAATTATCGGCTCTTGTTTTTTTAGTTTTTTTTTTAACGTATCATATTAACAATATTTTAACGATTTGGTTTCCGTCCCAGACTGATGATCAGTCTTCACCTGAAGTTCTTTCCTCTCCTAAGATGAAAAAAGAGTTTTCCAGGAATGGGTGGATTTTGTTTTTTCAGCAGAACAAAGTCAGATCTTCAGTGTAAAAAAACAACCACAAAAACAATGAGGGTTCGTACTTGACTGACCGGCCTGCGGTCCAGATCTGTCTCCTATGGCAGAGGTCTCCAACCTTTTTTATACCAAGGACCGGTCGGTCGGTACCAGCCGTTACTGTGGACCAGTAAAACCGCACTATCGTTGAAGGATCATTAAACTTTCAAAATAAATAAAACGTCTTTTAGACTTTCTTCTGTTAGTATCAGAGACTGAATGACCTTGGACCTGTTGGTTTGAAACATTGACAGATCATCCTTGAATGAAAACAGTAAATTGATTTGACTGGATTTTTTTGGAATGAAGTAAATTAGTAAAACTGAAGTCCATTTTTTTTTACCATGTCCCACTGAGGCCCGATACCAAATGACATATGGACTGGCACCGGTCCCCAGACCGGAGGTTGGGGACCCCTGTCCTATAGAAAATGTCTGCTGAGCAGCTCAAGTCTTTTATTCAGAAAGAACTACAACAAGTCAAACGGTTCTTTACCACAATAATAAAAATATCGTCCTTTTCCTGTCAGAGGAGGATTTGGATTTTCAACTGCGCTCCTTTACACGTGCTGTGCAGTTTGACAACACGCCAGGGGTCGGACTGACGGGTGTATCTGTCCCGCTTTGTCTGCAGGTGATGAAGACCTACCACATGTACCACACTGAGAGCATCAGTGCGGAGAGTAAACTGAAAGACGCAGAGAAACAGGAGGAGAAGCAGTTCAGCAAGTCCGGCTATCTGCACGTCAACCTCCTGGGCCACGCGACGCACCGTCAGGAAGATCGAGAAGATGAAGGAGAAGGTGAGTGACCGACTCCTTTTCCATCACCAGCAACTCGTTACATTTCACATAAGAACAGCCAACAACCAGCAACTTGTTACATTTCACATAAGAACAGCCAACATTTTCAGGAGCAGAAAATCAAGATCTGGTTCCCCAGACATCAAATCGGTACCTTCAGATCGGTACCCTCAGGTCGGTACCCTCAGATCGGTACCCTCAGATCGGTACCCTCAGGTCGGTACCCTCAGAGAGGCTGAGGCTCAGGAAGCCAACTTTATTTATAGCACAGGGAGGGAATGGATTTCTCTCTCAGCTTTAGTCTCATCTCTATGCATGACAACAAGTTGGAGAGGGAAAAGAAAAGAAAGGAGAAAAAAAAAAGCCATCGTCACCATGGTGATATGGAATCAGGAATGTACGATGTATGAAGACGAAGACGAAAGAAAACCTATCCACATCACACCCACTGATGGGTTTGTTTTTCTCTCCGAAATGTCTATCACCATCTTCATATTTAATTTTTTTTAATTTTATTAAGTGTTTGTTTAAATATTTGACTTAAACATAAAAAATAACAACAAATAATGTTGAAATAATCATAGATGACAAGTATGCAGTCTGTTTAGGTTTTAGTATTTTAATGTAGTACCAGTCGAAATGTAGACCACAACAGGTAATCTAAGTACTCGTACTATTGTATTTGGACTACTGTATGTCGTACTTTGCAGTTGTACTTCAGCCCAAACAACATTTTTATGTCCGTGAGAAGATGTTTGTCCATCTTTTATGTACGGTTAGGGCAGAGTTACATTTTTAGCGCTCTCTGTTGGAGACTACAGTAGTAACTGTTTTAGTGCGGACAGTTAAAGGCCGACGTGGACAGGGTTTTATCTCTCTCTCTCTCTCTCTCTCTCTCTCTCTGTCCACTACACCACTAACTCTTACAACTACCCCAGGGCAGTTGTCTTCTTGTCTTCTTCTTGGCATTTACTGGCTGATTGTGGTGGCTTTATATTTGACTGTCTGCCCTCCCTGTTCAGCGACCAATCACAGCTGAGCATCAGTCCCACTCTGTCACTGTAAACATCCATGCCCACAGAGAGGCGTCGGTCCACATCGTCTGTCAGTTCCAGAGTCGACACACACTTAAATCCTCCCCGCTGCTTCATCTGCTCACATTAACGTGTCCCTCCCTCCCCCTCTCCCCCCACCTCTACAATCCACATTACCGCACACAAACACACTAGTTAAT